AAGGAAGAACAAGATAATTTAGCCTACTGCTATGAAAAACCAGTCAAATAGAAAAAAAACAAGTATTTTTACCAGTGGTAAGAAAATAGAGCTTACCTCAAAAAGTTTGCTGTAGAAGAATTCAAATAGAAATAAAATATTCAGGCAAAGAAGAAGATACTTAAGAATCTGGAAAGAGAATGACAAACCAGAAATGTGGAAATATGTTCGCACAGCTTACCTATATTCCTAAGCAGCTTGATATAATAGCAATTATAATTAAATGGATGAATGAAAGCAAGTACCTTACAGTACCATATTTAGAAGTAAAAATGAAATATAACCACTTAGGACAAGACCATCAAATAGGTCTCATGCAGCGAGAAGTATGCTGGATTATACCAAGTTTTATGGAAATATACACCACTATTAAGTTATTTATTGATGTGAATGCAATCATATCGCAAACTTATGTTAAATATCAGTAGATCATAATGATGTATGCCGTAAGGCATTAGTAAGATTTGATTTAAAAAATCAGAAGAAAAGAATGTAAATAAAACTGGCTTTTAACACTCGACGAGGCAGCCAGTGGCGTATTACAGTGGACTCTGGAGGAAAGGCAATATGCTGGATAAAATAACATGATTGATTGGAAAATTGTGGCCGATCTCAAATAATATTTAAAGTAGATATACCATTAGATCTAGATTCAGCTAAAAATTGATTTTGTTATGAATTCTAATTTAATTTTCAGCCAAAACTAGTTTCTAGTAATGTGAAAAAATAATTTTTCACATTACAAGTTATAAGTTGTGTTTGAGTAGTTGATGGGATCGAAGCGAAGTCAAAGCGACAAGCAACTTAGAAGTGTGAAGTCCTTTGGAATATATCATAGATTTAAGCAAATTTATAAAGTAACACATACTTGCAACATCAAAAGATAGCTAACAGAATACGCTATTTAAAAACTCTAATTGTAATGCCCTTAGCAGAGCTTTTCCACATTAAATACAAAAATTCAGGCCATTGGTGTAAATTAGGGAAGTAAGCTCCCACAAGAGATACATAGAGTCATAGGCATAATCGAAAAAAAACAATATCTTTCAGAAACAAAAGCATAACAAAGTGGAACTATCTATTAAGGCTGATAATTTAAGATCTATAATGAGTAGTTAAAATGCTAAGTATGTGTTTAACTTGTTTATACAGCAAATTAATGTTGCCAAAATCCTAGTATAATATTAAAGTGGAGATATTAGTCGAATTGGTTTCAATACTAATCATTTAATGGATCTTCTACACTTTAAACAAATACGAGTACCAATGGAGGCAAATAGCATGAGTAAGTTTCGAGGCTCCGGCTTACCAGGTACTCGAAGACTAGCGTCAAGGACTTTTCAGTGTGGATGATGTCATGTAGTGTGACGATATTTGCATGACGGAGATCGCGAAGCAAGCTGACCTCTCGGATGGCAGTGCATGGAGCACCCTCCTCATGCTCCAACCGGATTTCCTTTAGCGCCACTAGTGCTTCTGTCAGCAAACTACGGCCCTTATAGACAGTTGCATAGGTTCCCTGTGAAAGCGTTTATTATGAATTAAAAATAGAAATAGAACAAATAAGATGTAATAAGAAGAAAAATATATACTTGTAAGTGGGGTTCAGAAATTGATGAGATGCGTTGGAAAATACAGTTCATTCAATGGTTAAAGGCAGTGTAGCCGAGGACAGTCATAGAACAAAATAAGATCGTAATATGAGCTCGAAAGCATTTAAAATCTTTAAGCTCACAAGGCAAGGGTTAAGTATCTGATCTTATTTTCATTTTTTAAGCAGGCTAATACAGTTCTTATCTAATTTTAAGGAAATTGAGGAAAGATCTCAATATAAAGGGAAGAATTTAACAGTTATTCAAATAACAAATCAGAATATCTGAAGAAAATTGCTATTAAAGGTGACTATTAATTCGATTATGCGATTAGTATGCGATTTTCACTACATGAAGGTCTAATACAGTAAGAATAAAAAGTAGAATGCAACAGCTCATTTCGACGTTATGATGATCTGTACAGAGAAAAGATCATTTGGATGACTGGAAGCTAGTACCGTCGTTTGCACCTAATTTTCATTTACTCATAGCAAGTGAATTATAATTAGTCGTCACTTTAAACTATGACTGTGAGATGGACGTGTGGTGAAAGCAATTATAAGAAACAGATGTACCATCAAATAGAAGGTCAGAAATTGGTTATAATAGCAGAGTTAATAAAAGAATGTTTGATAACTATGATGAACCGAAAAGCATATCCTAACACCGAAGAGGGTGGCGAATCTTGTAAAGCCAACGAAATTTCGATAACCAAATAGTTTTGGATTAACTCACGCCAAATAAATTTATTTAAGTATTTATGCTCTCATTATTTTTTTCGCCTAGTTTCGAATAACCTAGTCTCGTTTTTCGGAAATATCCAGCT